GACACACCCCCCTGGTTCACAAAATTTGAGTTCGAGAAATTTTTTTCATTATTCTACATTATAAGTACCCAAAGAAGCTATATATATAAAAAACCGGATACAAATAGGTGTTTTACGAAATTGAGAGCAATTTCAAATCTGTTCAGTTTTTTTTGATACACCCTGTATAGACCAACGTGCAGTGTTGAGTATTTCTGCTCATAACTCAGAAAAACTAAAATGCACTGGCTTCAATTCCCCCCCCCCCCTGAGTTAGCCTTCCAGTTTATTTATAGTTCAATGGGTCTGACTCGTCCCCAGTGGCTTACCCAACGCGCGCTGAATTTCCCAACAACGCGCGCTGAATGATGGGAATTCCCATGGTCCTTTGCGTTATACTCAATTTCATCGCATTCCTATGAATCATTGCATGAATAAGCAATGTTGGGGACTGTGGAAGAGTCAGAAGTTTGGTTTGAAATTTTCCTTAACCCAGGATTAAGCTCACCGTGCAGCTTTCAAAGGAAAACATGCAAAACAAAACAAGTCAAAAAATTAGATGGAGTGATCGAATCAGCCTTTCTCACGCCGCCATTTTTGGGTGGCATTTTAGCTGAAGTCTGCGAGATAAGTCCACATAACAGCGAGTTTTTATAATTTTTTTGACGAATTATGGTAAATTTGCTTTGTAAATGGTTAGTTTATTTTGAGAAATTGCTTTTCACATTGTTTTAATTGTCTGCATCGGTTAACGAAAATTAGATGCCACCCAAAAATGGCGGATATTCGTCATCGTGAGAAAGGCTAATTAAGGCCCTTCCAAGGTTAAGGACGCCATCTTGAATATATTGTTTTCACTCATTGTGTTTGCACCCCCTGTGCTATTGTGTTTCATTATGGCGTTGTTAAGTTTGGAAGGGTCTATTATGGAAGTGATTCGACGATACGATCATGCAGTAGCAGTTTCTTTTGGATGATATACAGGAAGGTACAAGATACCGATGCATGGATCCCGGAAGGCTAGGAAGACCGTGGGAAGGAAGACAGACCTGACCTCTAGATGGGGGAAACGGAAAGGGAGGGAGGAAGCACATTAAATACCATAGAAAGGATGACAGAATATCCGCGTTCTTTCGTAATTAAATATCTCTCAGTTCCCAAACATTTGGGTTGTTTCAATATATACAGTAAGGGTATATTCCATAAAAGATCGCAGACGTTTTTGCAAACAGTTTCTTTTGCGCAATTACAAACGTTGTGTTCATCTTTCAATGTCTGGCACAACCATTTATCTCTTGTGGTTAAACAATGCCAAATGTTTCAGGCAAATGTTTTCAGGTAATTTCCTCCGTTTTGGGGAAAGACGGCCTGGAAACAATATTTCCACAACAGTTATATTTCGTAGTTTACGCCTATATGCGGCCTACAAGGTGGCTAGACGTGGTCTTCGCGATAAGCGCATTCTCTCCTCTGTAATCACAGTCTGAAGTGCGTTTGAAATGGTAAAAACGCAGTCATTTTTACATAACTTTGTCTCTTCTATGCCGAAGTTGAATCCCAGAAAGTTATATTGTCCAGATTTTACAATGTCAGCACTATCACGCCTCGACAAACTAGGTTTTTGACGGCAGGACTCCACTTTGGATTCTTCAGAAGCGAATCCCAAGCGAACTTCGTCATACGTCGGCAGCACTTCGTCCATTACCGGCGAATTCTGTGTGAATGAGTCGTTTGATGTCGGAGTATTGTCACCCGAAGTATGTTTCCCCGATGGGATATTCAGGCCTTGGTCATCAGCCCGTAGAACTGCATTTAAAAATTGGTTCCAGGTTCTTTTCGTGCGCGTGTTGTGCAGAGGACTGGTTGGTATTTGGATTTTGACATCGCCATTCCCGATGTTGGTTGATGGTGCCAGTGGATATAGCTCTGGGGATTTCATTACTAGAAATTAAAAATTAGATATTTGTCAATTTAATTAAGGACTTAACTTGTTGCACTAGCTGTGGCAATATGGCTCAGCAATCTGCAATATACTAGGCCTATCAGTTGTAGAACTAATGTTCTTCCATTTTTCCCACTATGTTGCTGTCGGGACTTCTTGTATATAGTCTTCATGTGATTTTTTTGCATCCCGCCTCCGTTGATCCAATAGACAATTCCCATTATAGACTAATTTTAAAACTAGGCAAGGAGATGCAAATAATTCACCACGTCTAGAAAGAGCATATATGTAAAATGCGGAAAATATAGCCTTGCAAAGTTTGCAAATTTTGTATACTTTTGTATTGCGTGCGGAAATTGCTACCATTTTCGGCCCAAATGTGGTAGCAATTTCCGCACGCAATACAAAAGTATACAAAATTTGCGAACTTTGCAAGGCTATATTTTCCGCATTTTACAACATTTCGCAACCAAACTTTGCAATTTTACTCATTTTAGTATGCTCTTTCCGGGAATATACTTTTTTTGCCAAGATAAAAAATAATCTATAATGGGAATTGTCTATTCTGGATCTTTCTCCTCGCAGGGTTTGTTCATTTGGAGGCGAGTTACTCGGCAAGGAGAGTTACTCGGTAACGGTCAGTGGCGATTGGTGAAGCTAGCCATGGCAAGCCAACTGGTCATGCTAGGTCATAGCCTGCGAACAGGCTCTTTGAATTGAATTTCAAAGAGGGTTCAAAGAGAGCCTGTTCGCAGGCTAGCAAGGTCAAAGACAATACATTTCTAAAGAGGTTTGAATAAAATTTGCATAGCATGATCTGTTGCTATAATAGTTTCCCCTTGTGTCTGTTTACATGATGCAACCGGGTAACTCGCCTCCATATAAACATGTCCTTAGAGACTTGGTCCTTCCATCGAGAGGTGTATCACTTCATAAAAAATGTACGAGGTTTTTCGCGAAAATCCCGTGGGATGTTTTTTCAGGGATTTTTTTCAATATATTTTTAGGAAGACTTTTTTAAGAGATTTTCTGAAGTGATACACTCCTCGCTTCCATTTCCTTTTTTCTATTATCCAGTCATATCAAATGTCCAAACCATTTCTTCCTTGGCTCATTTAATCGAACTTTTAATCTACATGCATGCAATTCTCCTGATCAACAAACAATCTAATATCAAAACCACAACCTCTTCAACCAAAAATGGCAGTCAAAGTGTTTAATACTTAGTCAACAAGACTCGTGTTGCCAGCAACCCCATTAATTATAACAATGACACGAAAAATTTTTTTTCCAAAGAACAAGTCGGACAATCGCTGATCACGCTTGTTTATACAAGCCAGTACTAAGCCAAATTTGTCTACCCACAGTTTGGTCTACCACGAAACATGTTTATTTAAAATCATTTTAGGTTGCTATTTACCCCAAAACTAGTAAATTTAAATCAAATGAGTATATGAATATTCAAACGTGCTTTTACCTTGTCTGTAAGGTGGCGGTCCATTCTTTAGAATTCCGTCGTTTGCAGGATAATCCAAAGCAATCTCCTCAACTACCTCGCTTGCTGGTTGTACACGGCTACGACGACTGACTGCTTCTGCTGCCGTTTGTTTTTTAATCCTTAGCTGAAGCAACACGAGAAGAATAATAGCTGCAGCCACGGCTATCACAGCCACCACAATAACAAATATTTCCATTTGAGCCAACAATGTGTTTTCTGAGGCGACTACAAGGTCAAGGAGGAAAAAATTATTGAAGAATGTTGACCAGCATGCCTATAGTACCACCTAAAACGCTTAGTCAATAATTTGAAGATAATGACCTTGTTTAGCACCAAATAAAATGACGATTAGTTAATATTTTTGATAGCACCGTATGAAATGGCAGTTAATAATTTGAAGATAACCAACTTGTTTAGCACCATATAAAACGCTTAGTTAATAGTTCGGAGTTGACCATCTTTTAAAGAAGGCCAAAGATGGTCCTTCGCTTAAAATATCGAAGATCTTTTAAATCTTTTCAGATCATTAAACTCACCTCGATGAATAAAATTACAAAAAACTTTTATTACTTCAGAACGTATAATAGCTGTTATCAATCTATCCTGAACTGTACTTGAAATTGAAGATCTTCTTCAGTATAATCATGTAAATATAGGGACTTGTGCGAAGCACTGATTAACAGTGAAACATATATCTTCACAAGCGAGGTATAGACTATAATGTGTCAGGAAGTAAGCGGGAGACAAGAAGTAGAGCCTTCATACAATATAGCTGAAATTGAAACCTTAGGTTGGTTGGCAACGAGTAGTGTGTACGCCTAAATAAGACTTGTTTCTACAAATTGATTTCCGTAAAATGAAAATAGGTTATCCTTAGTGCTATGGCAACTGAGAGCATGTGAGTTTGACTATAGCTGCGACAGAATTGAAAAGGTCAACAAGTAAATAGCCGTATATCAGTGATAGAATGAAGGATTCTCGGTGCTAATGGTTCTGTGTCTTGTGCAGTTAATACTACCCACAGATACTACCATGTACATTGTACATCATGAGTTTTAATTAATTAATAGAGAAATGACCTCTCGTTCAAGAGAAAACAAAAAGCTTAAAAAGTAAATAATTGTGTAGCCAGTGTATAGGACTGTAGCACTCTGTAAGTTACTAAAAGAAGCCTCAATTTGTACCTGGTAACATGACAATTCTGTAGCTTTTGCAACTAGTCGTACTTATATCGTACTACACAATCTGAGTAAAAAATTACCTCTTGAATCATGGTGTACTTTTTACATTGCGTAATAATTGCGGAAATGAGTCAACCTTATTTTCAAATCTAAGTTTACAAAGGATCTTCGCTCAAAGTATTTGATTTTCATCATTTCATTATCATTTTCATATCATCATCTACCGTTTTTCTTCAGTGTCAAGAAAAAAATAAGTATAATGCCGCCTTAAATACTGAAAAATAGCACGGCTTCTCGCCATGTGTATATATATTCTGTTATATAACAATGCACAATGGCCGAATGAATGCTCGATATTGCACGTGTATTTTGCAGGAAGGGAGACCCTCGGATACAAATTAGAATAACTATGAGAGAAAAGAATAACCTTTTATGGGTTAACATACAGGGAATGATTAGGGATTACTTCTTGTATGCTTTGCACACAGCGACCCCCATTTCTCTCCGCCCTTATCATTTTTTTTTTTAACTGAAGAGCCTATTTTCTATGGAGGCGAGTTACTCGGCAAACTGAGGACCAAAGGCGTGAGAACTTACTCGAAGACTCGTATATTTTTTGTCGAGTGAAAATGACTGTCAACCTCGTTCCCTCATCACAGATTAGAAACCTTGCAGAAGGTCGACTTTTGATTTTGGTGTAGCATTGCAATGGTCTGATTTTGGTGTAGCATTGCAATGCTGTGGATACGAGAGGCATTCACACCCCCTGGAAATATTCAAAATGGTGAATTTTCAGGGGGGTGAATGCCTCTTGTAAGCGCACTGGCTAGGAACATGGCGAGTGCATGATTCCCTCTCTAAGGGCTCTATTCTGTGCCCTGATGCCTCGTGAAGGTCAGACCTTCCCATGGTGCAGCAGGACCTGTGGAAGAAGCAAGGGTCTGGGGATGAGAATGGCATAACAACAGAGGGAAAATCTCATTTCAATCGAGTCGTCCAGTCGATCATTTCCAAAATTAGAACTGTTATCAACATCGAGTCTTTGGTCTCGGGTTATATACGCCCGAGTTTCTTAATTGTGTACCAGATCAAAAAGAAGTGCCGAGAAATTCAGGATATTGAGCTTCCCTATGTGATTCTTGTGTACACATCTCGCTTTGCCAAGTTACTCTGACAAAATGTTCACATGTTATGAGTCATCTTGCTAATCTTGTGAATCAATGATTCTGTACGGGGCACCACAAACATGTATCTAACTGATACGACTTCATATGACTTGACTGACATTGATTTGAATACATGGACATTTGGGCCTTCAGTATATAGCTATTACTTCCCCCATGGTGAACTAAAATCCTGTATATGACCCTGCCCCTGGCATGGCACGCTAGGATATAGTCCGTTAATTGCCAATGCGAATGTGCATGGTAATATTCACGAGCCAAATTGGTGTCTGGTGATGTCACGATTCGAAACCAGACAATAATTACCTTCGCTTAACTCTTTAGCCTTAAAAGACTCTTTGTTTACGCCAACAACTATATGTGGTTAATGTTTCCGCCGAAAACAAGCTAAGTACAAAAGTCCTTTTTTCTTTGTGTCCGTGACCAGTTGTGCTTGCTAGGACGTTTGTATACATACAGAATGTTTGGAATTCTACATCAGTGTAGCAAGTCATAATTTGGCACAGAAAAGTTCCGTTCCTGTTCAGCCAGTAATAACTTTCTGTCCCTAAACTTAATGAAGACCTTGCTTAATTAATGAGGGTTTTTTTTATTAAAGTAGATAACGGTTATATATACACACTGAAAAAAAAGTATCAATAGCCTGTGAGGGCTGTTTTTCAGTTAATTAAAACGTTCATCATGCATACCTGCGTACACGTAGGTAAAAAAAATTCAAAAACCATTCGAAAGTTTCTTATTAAGTAATTAAATGAATAAAAAACAGCATTTATAGTTCACTTGGCAAAGTAAAAAAAGCTTTCGATCCGTATTGAGCCAGAAACGTCATCAATGCGAATAATATATTATGATATTATAAAATTCTGAAGGCCAAAGGCGTAAATCGCCGCCAACTCGGAGCCAGGAATGAAACTCACTCCCTCTCATCATGCGCGCAACTAAAACTCGCATCAAACGCGAGGATTGGAGTACATGAATAGTTGGCAGTCACGCGAACTTGGTTAGCTGTTCTTAATGCTTTCCCAACACTATCATGTATTTTATTTAAGTTAAAACATAGTTGGAACACTCATCAAAGGTCTTATCGCATTATGTGCGACTCTGGAGCACGACAGCAAGTCAAACTTCGCTATTCTGTCATAAGCGGTATAATATTTGAGAGGCTGCATGCTTGTGAAATGACCGCTGAAATGTGGATCTGGCGAGAAAATGGAAAGATTAGCTGGACTGAGTAGGTTGAAGAAACTGAACTTTGATAAAGATTATTAAAAAGCTATACAAGCCAGATGGTTAGGTCATATGTTTTGAGACATGCGGGCTTTGTACAAACAATCTTATGCAAGGAAGTAGGGAAAGAGGTAGACCGCGAAAGGGGCATCTTACTTAAACGATATCAATAATTAAGGAAGGAAGGAAGGTTGTATGGTAACCTTAAAAGACTTCGAGTTGATTATATATGATAGAATTGGATAGCGGAACTCAAACCTAGTGACATACGGCAGAGCATCAAACGAATTAGATGAGAGTTAATCGGAGAGTTAAGAAGCGAGAGTTCACATGAGAGTTTTCACAATTCTTAAGCGCGATTCGACAACGCGGCGCGATTTTTCAGTTTTTGAAAGTTAATAAAACAGCCAATGAAAGGAAATTTTAAAAGATAGATGTAAACCAAATAACTTAAAATGTTATAGCGCTTCTAAATATTTGGAAAACTTAAACCAGGATCAAAGTTATCGGTCAGTGAAAATTGAGAAATCGCGCTGCGTCAGTGTCGAATCGCGTCCGGTGTGTCTCGACCTTTCTGCCCTGGTCAAACGAGAACAAGAGTTGCGTGAGAGTTGATGAGAGTTGACCAGATAATTATCGCGCGCGCAGCGAAAACTCTCGTCAAAATTTGAACCAAAATCAACAAGAGTTGATGAGTGTTTGGGGCAAACACGAGCGAGCGTTGATGAGTGTTTGGGCCAAACACGAGCGAGCGTTGCAACTCTCCTGTATCAACTCTCGTGGCAACTCTAATCAGTATCTGTTTGGCCGGGGCTTAAGTTATTGTATAAAATATATAAACATTGTAAATTTGTTGATCGAAAAACATCGTATACAAAAATTTAATTGAAAACTTGTTAACGTCGCAATCGAATATAGGAACTTACCCGCACTTTTTCAAAAAGACTAATCCTAACTCCTCTGAGTCCTTCCAAGTAAAAGAAATGTCAAATTTGGAAACGCATAAATGTAACCAGTGTTCCAATTCAAGTTGGAACTAAATGCAGCCGGATTTTACTGACAAACCTGTGCGTGCGTTCGTAGATGATATGACCTAATTCTTCCTGCCACGACTTTCTTTGATTGTAATCGTGGGTTTTTGCGTGACTGGGGATAAAAATGATATGTAATTGGCATTAATTGCAACAATTGTGTACATAAATAGTAATTAGAATGGCTGGAAGTTTCAAATGTTTATGCAAATTTTGACAATTCCGTGTTGAATCAATGTCAATATGGTGCACGCCAAGGAACCGGATCTAACTGAAGCTGTTGTTTTTTTTAATATACCATCATTAAGGTGAATTTCTACTCATGTTGAACTTTGCTTCCTCGACGCAGCTCTCGTGTTTTATATCTGATCAGTAAAACACGCGGACTGCGAATGTTTTAAATTGCTTAAAAAACGTCCCATCTGATGAGTTCATTGGCGAAGTAATTCTAAACTGAATAAACGTTGTCTAAGCCGGGAAATAGAACATGTAAATGAACATGATTTTTTATCACATTTTAAACCACCGACGGCGATACGCCAGTGATTTCTTTTGAATTTTCCTCATTAGTTTATAAATGAGTTTTCAGTTTAAAAATAATTATCACAATCATAAAAGTCTGTTAGCTTTGGATGGTGATGGAAGCTGTTTTTCCCATTCCCACATGATATATGTTATCGGTAGAAACACAGGTCGTCATGAAATGAATTTTTGCTAAACTATTTGTCGAACCCGCTCATTTAGCTATATATAAAAATAATGACAGCAATTATGAAAATACGTGTGCACACAACGTTATAATTAACCGCGTGTTTCATGCGTGGCGCACGTAACTGTGGTCACGAAAGCTGTGAAAGAAATAAAAGACTTCGTTCATATGGTCCTTATAAACAGCTAAACCCACAAAGAGCCTCGTTTTATTCAAACAAAAAAGAAGCGAGGCTCTAAGCCAAAGTGATGTACTTTCCAGATGGGTGCATTGACCGCTATAACTAGTAAAAACTACAAAATTATACAATTGCTAACTCTATAAAGTAGAAAAGACAAGCTCCTCCCTAATTTGAAGAAATCCTAATGCCTTTATTCACTTGGTAGTTCAAAATTTAAAACCCACAAACCGCTGATTCACGCTCTCTTTGCCTAAAAGGCGATATCTAATATTATCTCGCCTCCAACGTCAAGCCCGAGGTCAAGCCCTGGGTACGAGGTTGTATCAGCTTATAAAACCATATTCTCGTCCTCAGAGCCATTTTCACTCGGTCAATCGTTGAAAATTAGGCTCTGGGTTAGACGATTAAGGGCCCGGCTTCTCAGAGAACTGCTATTTCGCAGAAGTTGATCAGTTTTCACTAAGCAAGACATAGCAACATATGTCAACACAAATACTTCATTTCTTCGTAATACGTCACTGTGAAAATTGTTACGGGTTCTAAAGCGTCCCAATTCAAGAGCATGCGCTTTAGAAACTACTGCAGGTTTTCTTGTACTTCCGGTTCCGCACGCGCGCGGCCGAGAGACCCTGGGGACGAGGATGCTCAAGTCAGTAATGTACGCCTCGTACCCAGGTCTCAATGTAGAGCACCCCGCTCGCTGAGCTTCTGATCTGTATATAACAACTTAGTGCGAGCACCTGGATTTTTACTGTCAAGCTGCCAAACATGAGTGTCAGATGTTGCAAATTATTTTTGGTTACTTGCAAAAAAGTAAATATAGGCATGCTGCCGACTTTTTCATTTCCGCGTTACAATTCCAGAAACTTAAGTGTTATAGAGCCAAAAACGTTAAATGCTTAATGTTGTTGAAGTACCCCATTCAGAACCTCTTTAGATGTTGTGTCTTTGAAGCAAAATGCGTGACACCTGGCATGTAAGTTTGAGTTTGGCAGAGGAAAACTCTGTATAAAACTTTCTGTCAATGACAATGTACCCGACCTAAAACTGACCCACTTATTGAGGGTTTTTTAAGGTTTAGACAACGGTTACACTAACAAAAATTTATGTATGAATAGCCTAATGCATGCTTCCACTATTACTGGAAATACTCCACAGTTTATACAACTTTCTAGATAAAAATCTCACAACTTGTCGCAAGCTTGTTGTAACAATGTTGTTATTTTACAAGTTGTTATTGATCAAGTTGCAACAATGTTGTCACTCACAACTTGTTAACAAGTTGTTGAATTGCAGAACGATAACAAGTTGTTGGAACAACTTGTAACGAGTCTGTTGTGCTCAACAACCTTGTAGCAAATTGTCAACAAACCGTTAACAACTTGTCAACAAGCTGGGAACAAGCAGTGCGAACACATCCTGAGATAACAAGTTGTTGGAACAGCATTGCTACAAGTCTGCTGTAGTTGAAGATCTAGTCATATCATATATATGCACTGAATTGGCGATAAATAAAGTTGATTTTGTCTCAGTTTTGGAAAACACCAGGTTTACATGCTTATTTACAATGCCGTATGGATCCGTAAACCCCGGATCGTCATTAGTGGCAGTACAAATACCATATTTAATGATATTATTAATAATAGTAATATGCCGAGAAAACACCAAAATATTGCATATAAAACAGGGTGGGTTAGAATCTAAGCGTATAATACTTGGTGTAAAGCGCGTTTCGTAATCATATGCGTGAGCGTGATAAAATATCGTATAAAAAATAACAAAAAACCATCGCAGAATCGCGAGTAAGAACTCACCAGCGTTTTTTCAAAACGACAAGATTCTAACTCCTTAATTCCAAATAGAAGAAATTTGTAATTGGGAAACACATAAATATAACCAGTATTCCAATTTCAATTAGACTAAATGCAGAACTTTAATTTATTTGAACTGCACTTTACGTTAAATAAAATATCATGACCTAAATGCCACGTCTTTCTGTAACCTTGGGTAGTGTGTGACTGACGATAAAAAATGTATTCGTAATGTATACCTAATTAGCATATATTGCAACATTTCTTTATAGCTTGCTTATAAAGAAATGAAGGACAGGTTGCAGGTCGTGCAGTATAAAACGTACGGACGAAAGCCGACGTACATACACTCTAAAACAAGGCTGTCGGAAGTAAATTAATATTGGGGGGCTCAAGAATAAATCTGAATAAATGCGAATTGCTTTCACACGTTTCTAGTCCTTTTGTGTGTTTTGCTTATACAAATGGAAATTATTGGGGGAGGTGGCTGAAGCCCATGAACAAATACATGAACAGATACTAGAAATTAAATTTAAAGTGCCTATATCATGGTTTTGGAGTTTGCATATCTCGAAAGTTTAGGGTATTTTAAGACACTTTGCAATATATTTTGTTATTGAAAAATTTCATCTTGATGGATTTATTAGCTCTTAAAGTTACCGGATATGACGTCAAAAGGAGAATTGCAAATCAGTTTTCCTTTGTATCATTGCAACAAAATTCTCCTTTTGACGTCATGTCCGGTAACTTTAAGAGCTATTAGTGAGCTTAAGCAAGTGACGTTTTTGACAACACGAACGGCATGAGTAACGTCAGAAGACTGGGTCAAGGGCTGTGATTGGTGAAAAACGTCAACTTTACTTCCGGTCGACGTCCGTGTTGTCAAAAACGTCACTTGCTTAAGCTCACTAATAAATCCATCAAGATCAAATTTTTCAATAACAAAATATCAGTATTGCAAAGTGTCTTAAAATACCGTAAACGTTCGAGACATGCAAACTCCAAAACTATGATATAAGCACTTTAAGAATATACACATAGATGAAGGAAAAATAAGGTTGAAGGTGGTCAACAGGACAAAAATCCCATATTAAAACCAATCCAAGAAAGACAACAATAGTTATAACATATTTAGGGACACAAACACACATTTACATACTGATATATTTGAACAAATATTGACATGCAAAATGCATGAAATTAAGTAACTGAGAACAGCAAGTCGGATTGTAAAAACGACACTTGGAACGATTAGCCATTCCGAAGTTGATGAGTGGACTTGGGGACGAGTGTTAAAAAGCGCCCAAATTAAGAAATGAACCAAATCACTAAAAAGACCACCTCAAAATTAGTAAGTATGGCAAAGTTTGAAGACGTTTACATGAATATCCTTCGAATAATAAGCTTTCGAAAATCGTGATATTTACTATGAAATGTACTGTAATTTTTGTTTTTGGGACGCGCGTCCCAAAAACAATCTTCAGTTAATCAGTAATTTCACGATTTTCGAAAGCTTATTATTCGAAGGATATTCATGTAAACGTCTTCAAATTTTACATACATTATATTCTTGGTTAATACTCCACCTAATATAATCTGGTTAATAATTCAACCACTGCATAGCCAGGAATCCTGATTAAAGTAGCCAGGACTATGCATGCCACCCCAAACATTTTATATGAACCAGGAATTTTCAAATACAACAGTTGCTAATGATATTCTTTCTACATGATCTTGAAGATCATGAATCACTTGATCAGAAAAACGTGCATGGTTAGATATATCAGATATCACTTATAATAATCTAGCCAATTAGGAGTGATGAAATCTAGTCAATTGTAAAGTTTAGTATAGGTTATTTTGAGGCAACGAGGGGATATGTGATTTATTCACCGAGGCGCGCAGCGCCGAGGTGAATAAACACATATCTCCGAGGTGCCTCAAAATAACGTACTTATTTTTCGGTCGCGTTAATGAGTCAGAATATTAGAAATAATTCTTAATACCATATTGCCTTCGTTATGTTGTTTTTTCTCATTTTTTGTGCTGCAAAGACATTGTAGGTGAATATTAGAGGGGATTATTAAACGGAAATTGATTAGAGGGGAATATTGAATATATTCCCCCGATAAGAACAAAGGAAACCGAGCAGGGTGAAAAATAATAAGCAATAGCCAATCACAATTCAGTTTGCAGAGATCCGAATTAGTATTTGGCTCGGGTTTATTCAGCAGAAAGTAGTTTGGCTTCCCTTAGTAGATTTTGGCACTTTTTAAATGGAATTTTGCTCTTGTTAAAAAGCTTCAGTAATCCTAAGTACATAAACCTATATTTAAACCGGCATCCATAATCGCTTGCCCTTGGCTGTAATCCCTGTCATTTGCATGAAAGTGTTTTGCTTTTCCGTTGTATACAAAGCCGGAAAAAATACCATTCAAGTCCCGTTCTAAAACGTCTTTCAATAAAAGATTTAAAATAATTATGATCGATTATAATTCAAGACCTATATATGATCTATTAATGGAATGACATGTGCGCTTTCTGCGCGACTTGCGCGCATAAAAAAGGCTAATTTGTCATGTAATGAGTTGTAATGAAACTAAAAATCACGCCTCAGTGTAAGCCTGTCTTGCCTAAACAGGATTCTCCCGAATTTGAAGATTTTATCTTGTTACTGACCATCCCGCTAGGCATGGTAAACTTAGATTTTTCAATTTAATTAACTACTTGTTGCAAGAGCCCGCAGTAACAGTTATTTAATACGAAATTCACGACACGTACTGCACAATGGATCTGTAGCTATAGACGAAATTTTGATCTAGACAAGAAGGACGAAACCATCACCATAGCTGGGACGAGCATCTTAAAATGAGTAAAATTGCAAAGTTTGGTTGCGAATTGTTGTAAAATGAAGAAAATATTGCGCTGTGAAGTTCGCAAATTTTGTATATATTTGCATTACGCGCGATAAAATAACCACTTTCGGCTCAAAAATTTTCTTCATTTTACAACATTTCGCAACCAAACTCAAATGCATTTTTACTCATTCTAAGATGCTCTTTCTAGCTATGGTGTTGGATTTCGTTCTTCTTCAGCTAGATAAAAATTTAGTCTATAACCGGAATCACCCATTAATAACGGATGACATCAGAATAATTAAACGCTTCTGGGTTTTCAGTATAATGCTTCAACTATAGTGTTTAATACTGTATATTAGTCATGTCAGTAAACGCTTCCGTAAACAAAAATGATCGGTGTGCGTGACTCGTTATTTAGAAAATCTATTCTTTAATTTTATTATGTTTCATTGTTTCAATCAACCAATCACCTTCTCATATGGCTTCGTGATGACCCGATGGTGACTGTCTCTAGATGGTAACAATGTTACATTCTGTCTTCCTTTAATACAATGGAGTGGCCGATTGTTGGCAGACTGGCAGTAGCAGTTAAATTTTATTTTACTTTAACTGTGAACATTTGTACAGGCTGTTAAAATTATCAACTATACTCAAAACTGTTCACCCAAATGATCACCCGACCAATTTTAATTCTTTTCCCAAAACTTCCATCAAAACACTGTTTTACTCAGTGACCAGAAGTGTTTTTTTGCCAGGCAGTGGATTTTTTGCTTCCTTACACGAGGGCTATCATGCAAAATGCCACCAAAATTAGTCATAACAATTTTCAGGTGACGTCCGACACGACTGAAAAGGTCGCTTGCTATTAAGCTCCGCACTATTGATAAGAGTTAAGACACTATGTCTATGCATAGTTTATAGAACTGTGGTCTATGCGGCCGTTCCAAGCCTGTGAAGTCCATTTAGTGATTTAGAACGACGTTTAAGAACTATGTAGCTACCAGCCAAAGTGTAGAAAATACTTTTCTATATATTTATTCTTCGTGTAGTTATATATTCTCGAATCAACATCTTGAAGACAATATTATATCCTTTTACTAAAGTGTAAACTTACCGGTAGGTGGTGTTTCCTTTCGTCCATTAAATCTCATCACAAGAGAAAAATTTCCTAATCGGCTCATCTTCGAGAGAAATAATTTCACAAACCCCGAAATACAACTTTTAAGACCGGCAAACCACTGACTCACGCTATTCTTGCTTACAAGTTTAATATTATATCGCCCCCAACCTTGGCAAGCTTCTATGTACAAAACGGGAAGACGGTCATAATGCATATTTTAATGTGAGAGTGGCTAAGCTGGGCTTGGCTTTTCCGTCATGTACAGCTTTCTAAGGCTTATACGCAGGATAATGACGCGGACACGCCTAAGTGTTTTCCTTTACTCGGACTTCGAGAACGGAAGCATGTTAGGTAAACGTGTTAATAGGCTTAGGAAAACAACATAATGTTTTTGTTGATAGCCACAACACGTAGGTGAGACTGTTTTAAGGCGAGGCGATGAAGGCAATTAGTAAAGTACAAAATGGCACGTGTCATCACGATTTCACCTTTGCTCCTCTCTCCAAAGGTATACAGTCTGCGCACGTGTTGAACTATTAAAAATGTTCAACTAAAACTTAAAATCCGAGTTCCGTAAATTATAGCTATGTTGCGAAGGGAATGGATTTTCAAAGATTTCGTTATGGCTGGAGGTTATATACGCATCAAGCAAGTTGTCCCCCCACCCCAGAAAAATTGAAGTCAGTGGGCAAATTGTGAGCGTAAGTTGGGCATTGCAAAAAGATGGGGGAGGGGGATAAATTGAAAAGAAAGAAATATGTATAAGATAATAGTCGAAAATGCAAGAAATTTGTTAATATGGCCAAACATTTTGAGCTTTATCATTATACAAACATTTTGAGCATTTTATCAACATACTTTGAAACATTTTATCAACATATTTTGAAACATTTTATCATTATAGCCAAACATTTTGAGCTTTATTATTTAAATGATAGTCGAAAATGCAAGAAATTTGTTAATATGGCCAAACATTTTGAGCTTTATCTCTTATAAATCCGCCATATTGTGGAGACAAAATTTTACTGAGAAAAGATAGGAGCACACATTCTATATCTATTATTTCTATGTCTTGATCCCAATCACAAGCCTATCCCTCAGTTGTGCACGAAACATGCATGATGGTATAACATGTTTAATGAAAAAGAGATTTTTAGCTGATGCTACTCTGAGTGGTTCTACAAGGGGCAAGCTAAAAAATTGCTTGGTCGCGTGGGATCATTTACCAGATTTCTGGAATCATAAGGTTGAAGAATGTTTGTTACTTTACTCTGTAGTATAGTGCATGCGCATAAACGTCAGGGTTTGACAAAGCTATATCGGTTTTTTGTTATAGTTCGCCTCTCTCTAGTGTTAAGGGTATCTACCCAGAGGGCAAATTTCGTCTCAGTTCAATTATAGACATTGTGACTTCAGCTCAATTCTTAAGTCGGCTTATTAATAATAGATATACGAACTTAAGACTCTTTGTTATTAGCCCTCTAATTATAAATAAATGTCTTCCTAGCTAAAATAATAAATCTTTGTATCCAATTAGCTTCCTGAAACAATTATCGCCCACTGTTTGTACCTTAATGTAATGGCCCTTTTATGAAGCAAACTAATCTATGGAGTCGACTTTAAACTGAATAGCTTTGTCAATCTCTATATAAAGGCCAAATATATAAGAGCCATCTTTTATGCGGTTCATTCAGCGTTGCTATCTATATATGACGTTGGTTATGTTTTCAAAGAGTGAAACCTAACGACTAACAGCTTCAACTGTCTTTAATTTTATCAGTGTTATAATAATTTTCCTGGTACAGCTATGTTAGTTCTAAACAGTTCTCTCTAAGGAGGTGTTTATATATTATGGAGGCGAACCAGCCCGGGTACCCAAGGCCAAGCTAGCTCGCTTTGCCGAGATGATTTCACCCCGGGGCCTGGGGCCGGTTGTCCAAAGCTGGATTAGCGCCAATCTCGTTCCCAGAGTATGCCTGTTCGCGGGTTAGGTAGTGGCACATAAGATTTAACCCATTACTTTGGTTTATGTATTTCTGCAGCCCCCTTTACACTGACGCTCAATTTTTGGTACGGCACGGATAAAATTGGTACCCATAGTCCAAGAACCAAAAAAGTGGTACGGTACCAAAAATCAGCGTAGTGTGACGGGGCTTGCATGTCTGTTTATTTCAAAACGTTAGAAAATTAAACTTTATACTCACAGATTTATTTAGCCACGCTGGCCATAACAACATAAAATAACACATAACATAACATAATAGTTTATTCACCAAATATATAATTATTTACAAAAAGTATATACATATATTTGGATGGTGCTCAGCAAAAAACCCCCAAGGAGCTTGTAAAACGCTAAACACCATGGTGGCATATAGATGTTATAAATAGTTAGAGGTCGCGGTTTTGGCATTGTTACGAGATAGATGAATAGAGCAAAAGATTGAGATTAAGAAACAAATTCAGAATATTCTAATATTCTATAATAACTCAGTTAAATTAACCTTTAGCTATTTGCCTCCATGAGGAAATTTCTGAGTTTGAATTGAAAGGAACTGAGTGAATGAGACTGAGTAATAGATTTATTGAGGGAATTCCAGAGAATTGAGCCACTATGCCACTTGATTTTCAGATGGGGCGTGTTACACTTACTATTGAACTCACATCCTAAGTCTCTGGTATAGTGGACATACTGCGTTTAAATTGGTAAAGCGAAGATGCCTTTTTCGCCTCAGAAGGAAAGACTATTCCACAGCATTGCATCACTAAACTTCGTTTAAGAGAGTTGTTTTAGGTTTTGGAAGTGCTAGATCAGTATCATTACTTCGAAGATTATATTCTCTATTAAGATCATCAGTAATTTTTGTACATTTTTCTCTCAAGACTAGCTTGGAGCGGACTGCTCATTAAGAATTTTGTACATCAAAATGCTCTTCAGCCTATGACGTCTTACATCGAGCGTGGACCATTGCAGATCCTCCAGTACATTTGCCGAGTTGACATCAACTGATGATCAGTGACAAGGTTTCTGAAAAAATATTTCCAAATTTATAAACAAGCTACTGGGAAGGGAAGTATGCTTTGAATTTCTGGTTAACCCAGGGTTAAGATAAGCGGCTTTTGAACAACTGGCCACAGGTCATTATTTATGGGGAGGGGTGCAGAGGTGGCACCGAGAAAGAGAAAAGGGTTGGGTAAACAACATTTTGGGTGACTAAAATTTTAGTTGGGTAAATGAAAAACAAAACAACCAAAGGGTTGGGTAATAAAAAATTGTTGTCATTTCCAAAGCATGACTCGCTCAAATATTGAAGACTAAAAAGCAATGTCAACAGTCGTATGTATAGATCAATCAGAGTCACTATCTTCATCATTTTCGGCCGATTTGTCAGGAGGCAAATATTGGTGTCTCCAAAGAAAGTACATGACTGCAGAAAATTGCCCAAGCTGTTATAATGTCAGTGGTAAAGAACATGTGTGACAACTGAATGGTATCCTTTTGTAAAGTTTTTGTCTAGGGGTGGGTAGTTATTTTTTTATTCATATTTGAGGTTGAGTACAAAAATTGTTGTCTTTCTAATGGTTGGATCACCAAAATATTTACCATGAAAAACATTTCTCTTCGGTGACACCCCCCCCCCCCGGCCATAAATAATGACAGGCTCCTATAAAGGCGATCTCTAGGTATCTGAGACAAACTGGAGGCATTTATATAGATCAGTGTTTCTCACAGGTGGGCTCGTGTGAAATTCACATGCTATCAGCCCAATCGATGTTTAATTTGTGCATGTTATCTTCATCACTTCAGTGTCGACGCATTGACGAGACACGAACATGAATTTTGACACTATTGTACTGATAAAATCCAGAGACTATGACGGGGTCTATGACCTGCATGAACTCTTAAATTATGATTTATTTGTTCTGGTAAGACTTCACGGTTAAATGACAAGCCAGTGCTATATAAATCGGATTTATTTTATCTCTAGTAACAGAAATTCACATCGGAACGGATTTTATGATTCCGGTTTAGTCGAGAAACTAATCAACGAAAATATCAGTATTGTTTTTAAGCCTTGGTCCTTGTGATCACAGTAGGAATTTTGCATGGGGAAATTCTAAGTTTTGAAGGATTTGTAAGAAATGTTTGAGGAAACTGACTCAGTGTTAAACAGATTTTTGGTAAATCAAAGAAAGCAGCGTGATAAGAATGCTTCTAGTAGTCAGACTCTACCAGATACCGTAGGTTTTCCACGGATTCTTCTTGTGGTAAAACTGGACCAATATATGGGTTAAGGATGGTTCTTTCTGGAATTTTAAGTATGGAGAACAGTTTAAAACTGATAGAACTAAACTATCCAGAAAAAAGCAGTTAGTGCCCTAATTTGAACATTTCACACGCTTGTACCGTTGGTCCTTAGCAGATGACATTAACAGTTGCTCGAACTGACGTCATAGAATAGCTCGATTCAATGACGTTGTTAATTTCTTCACTTCCTATATAATTTATATATATATATAAATTGCTATATTGCTTTGAACCATAATTTATGAGAACTGCAGACTGTTATTATGCTTCTATATGCAAAAGGAGAACAATTTTGGAGGTTAATGCATGATAATTCACTATATTGTAAAACTACGTTAGGGAAAATTATGTGCTAACAAAATGCATGCTAATTGATTATCATCCACGCCAAGCTTCCGAATCACTAACCTTGCAATAGTATATAATGCTCCTATATAAAGCCTTTTTTGCACCCCATATGGAGTGTTTCCGTTTGTGGTGCCAGATTTAAACAATCAAAAATTCAAATAAATTTTCACACAAGCGAAGTGATGAAATTTATTTATGTCAACGTAATTAGGTTTTGAAAGGTAAAAATTAAGTGGTTAATATATGTGGGCGAACATCTTGTCGTAGACGTCATAGGAAGAGTAAATAAGTCTAAGGACGGAATTACGTCATACTCGTCCGTTAACTGTATAAATAAAGAGCTTCAGTAACCCGCAAGCAGCCCGAAATTTCGTTCGACGTAAAACTAGCCTGCGTAGCAGGCGCTAACGTAAAACCGGAAATTTTACGTTTCAAATTTTTGGGTGGGCGCTGCGAGCAGGCTAGAGCTTCAGCCACTGATCTCAAATGGGACTGGATAGGGCAACCTTTTGAATTCAGGAAATTAAATTTGAAGCCAAAGAATATTTATAATGAGGAGAGATTTTT